AGAGAGGAGGAGAGGAGGGGATTTAGAAGAGGGTGTGAGGAATTAGGCAGATGGTTCGTCCTTCAGCCTCATCTGTGCTGTGTTATGTTGGGTTGTGTTATTCCGCTCGCACACACACACACACGCATACACACGCACATGCACACAGTTGTGATGGACTATCAACATGTTAATGACTCAACTGTTTAAAAAAAGAAAGAAAAAGAAAAGAATGGATAATTTGTGCACATCTTGTAATATTCAATGCTTACAGGAACCACATCCTTGAATGACAACTCATATATATGCGTCTTATATTCACTTTTCTGAGCCTTATGGCTATAGCTCCAATCCCTGCATAGGATCGATCGCCTTGGCTGCCCACCCTTCTTCTTCTCCGTCTTCTACTTCTTCTCCATCTTCGAGCTTCGAGGCATCCAAGCGCGTGGCTTCCAGAACTCGCCCTGTTTAGACTGTACAACCAACCAAATGGCTTATACCCAGCCTCAGATAGCCGAAACGATTGGCAACCAAGACATGAAAGGTGTAACTGCAACTGTTACTGGACGAGACTGCGTGTGTACATATGATGGATGTTGTGCATCGTTCGCCTCATTTCTGTCATCGATCGGTCGGTCTCTTATATACAGTACTTCCATTCCTCGCGTCAGTTGCACTTGTTCTACCTTGTCATCGTCACGTAGTTTCTCACAGCCACTGGTTCGCATCTCCACGATAATGCATTGATATCGCCGCGTCCTGCGATGATACTGCCAAGAATACACTTTGCCAGCCATGCTTACTCTCGCACTGAGCAACATGCGCACCCATTCAGCTGGGCTTCTATATACATGCATACCGTGTTCCCCGGTTCAACTTGCAGTGCCTTGTGATTTGATAATGCATGGTGATACCTGCCGCGTCTGAATCACAGCATCGCAGTCAAGGTTAGTCTTTCCAATCGATGGACACTTGTGAGCGCATTAGAATACCTTCCAGGTGACAACGTCCTACTGTGCCCAAAGAGACGGGATCTTGGGTAGATATTCACATTGAACACTGCAAAGACAAATTGTAGAAATGAAACTGTATAATATCATTCGAATACAGGCCAAGTAAGTAGGTATATAGACGTAAGCCAACTCGAGAACGACTCATCCAGCGCACATCCGCATTAATTTCTTCCTGCCGCAACTCAAGCCGCCAATAATAATCAAGGCAACAAGGACAGATTCCAAATATCAAAATCATGAGTCTCGACTTGCTCTTTTCAACCATATTCGTCTCAAACCACCAAAAGCCATATCAACTGCATCGTCACCAAACAATATAATGTCCTTGCTGCTGCCAGCCTCACTCTGAAGCACAGTCAAATCAAGAGACGAAAAAACAATTGTTGCTTGTGTATGCAGGACTGGGTATAGAGAACTCCCTCCCATTAAAATCAATTGTGCAGGGCCTCCGGCGCAATGGCTGTCACCCTTCGTCCGCCTCATTCAGGCCTCTCTCTAGATTGCCGTCTCCTTCTTTTCAGCTGCCGCTGGAGCAGCTACGGGAGCTGGAGCAGCAGCGGCAGCAGGAGCCTCGCCGCCAACAATACCAGCCTCTTGAGCGCCGTGCTCAGCAGCAGGAGTCACGGGAGTCACGGGAGACTGGACCTTGGCGTCAATGGGGTCAGCTGTGACCTGAGGGTTGGGCGACGTGGGCGTAGATCCTGCAGGGCTAGAGCCGGTGCTCAAAGGAGCTGTACTCTTTCCACATTCTGCGAGAACCTGGAACCATTTCTGAGCATCGGCAGCTGTGTGCGCCTTGAAGTTGAGCTCGGTTGAGCCGGTAAGCTTGCTGCTCATGGTCTTGGACTTGTCCTTGCCCTTGACGCTCAACTTCTCGCCCTGGACAGTGCCAATGACGGCGTCGGGGAGATAGATGGAAAGCTCCGGCTTAGGGTCCTGGCGGTTGTTATCCGAATCCTTGAACTCGTGGAGGAACTTGGAGGGCGTGACCACGTAGTAGCCTGTCGAGTAGCCCCAAGATAGCTTGTTGCGCGACTTGCGCTCCAGGGAACCCTCGATCAGAGCCTTGGTCGCAACGTGATCCATGTTGGGGAACTGGATCGCGTCAACAGAGCGGGCGGGCTCGTTGGGGTCAACGAGGCGGTCGGCGCTGCGGGCCTTGAAAGCATTCCACTCAAAGTCAGGGGTGACACGTTGGATGACCGAGAGCTGGTCGTTGTACAGCGCGCGTGTCTTGTCAGCCTGGCCGCCGGCAAGTTGTGTGAAGGCCTCCATGGCCTGCTGGACAACCTCAATGATGTGAGCCTCGAAGCTCTGGAAGTTGTTCTGAACAGCAATCAGGTCATTTCGGTGGTTGTTCTCGGCAATGACCTGGCTGTTGAGACGGTGCAGGACACCGCGGTAGACGACATAAGGGTCGTCGTGGCTGCTGAGGTGACCTCCAGCAGAGTCGAAAGAGGCCGCATGTTGCCCAAGCAGCTCTATCTGCTTCTGGGTGGTGTTGCGAGCCTTGTCAACCTCCTTCGCGCCCTTCTCAGCGCCATGGGCGAGCTCCTTAGCCTTGTGCTTGATCTCCTTATGCAAGCGTTCGAGGACGGGGAGAACAGAGCCCTTGATGCTCTTTTCGGTTTCGATGTTGGTGTTGATGAGCGACTGCGTGTTGGAGCGCATGTTCTCGAAGAATCCGGCAACGCCGCCCAGACTCTGGTCGAAGTGATGGCCCTCCTTGAGAGGGTTGTTGATGGCCTATTGTGCCTCGAGTTAGTGACCAAGGTCTACTGAAGCGACGGAAGTTAGAATTGGAATTGAGTTAAGCTCACCTTGAGCGCCCGTTCATATTCTTTGGCGTGGTGGCCATGGATCTTCTCCATGGCCTTCATGTACTCCTCTATGTAGCCAACAGCATGTTTCCATGCCTGGAGTCGCTCAGCAAGCAAACCGGCAGTCTATTCATTAAGAGGTCAGCTCAAATCTCCCCCAAAGCTGCATGTTTTACAGGGAGACCTCGGGTGACATACGCTTGAGGGATCAACTTCGGGAATGGCATCTTCGCTGACGGTGCTAAAGCCAGTAGTAGCCCTCGAGGGCAAGTCGGTTGTTGTAGGTGAAGCCATGTTGGGTGATGGGATATTAAGCGTTTTGGTGTATTTGGCGTCCAAGGGGGCGACGAACGAGGTGAGGTGTAGGATTATTATATGGATATAAATTCGAATTGGAGAGTTGAGATTAGATTTCACTGTCCAAGCTTGGCAGACAGGGAGGAAGGGAGGGGTTATTGAGCTTCTTTTCTGGTGCTCTTTGCAGGGGTCGGAATGGGGGAAGATCACAGGGTTATTTATATATGATAGGGACAGAGCATAAAGAGGTTGAATACTAATCAGTTCCTGGTTTTCTTGGCGAGGAGGCAATCAACTAAAAGTTAGATCATCAGGCTTAATATTGACGTCGTGGATAAATACTTAATGTGTTGTGCTGTACAGTATGTACGTACAACTTCGAGATGATCGCCAGGAGAGCTCATATGACGTCGAGATTCAGGCCACTTTAGTTGGGAGGGGAGGGGTTGTTGAGACAAGCCATGAAGAGCTGAAGGCCCAGCGCTAATAAAAAAGAGGCCAACCAACAGAAGACAGGTACCTAGGTAGGCCCTATAGAATTAGGTGGTCTACCGTGCTAAGTCGGTGAGAATACCTAGGTACGATCGAAATATTTCTTAGCACGAGTTAGTTATTTCAATATCCTGTTTTAAATGAGTTAAATACTAGGTAACGTTAGGTCTCAAAGGTGTCTATCATTCTTAATGCTACTACCTAAAGTATGTAAATGGTAGCTGAGTCCTTCAAGTGGTACAGTACAACAGATCATGCAATATTCACTCTGTATACCCTCAAAAGTCCCAGTTTCAGCTATCCAAGGATCACCACCAGCACCCGCACCAGCATCTAGATGCTCGTTCTCATCTTCTTCAAGCTGATCACTTTGCATCAAATCTCCGACAATCCAATCACTAGCGACAAACCAATCTATCCGTTAACCCTCACAACCATAGTGTGTCGAAGAACTAGTACCATGAACACCAAGACAAACCATCACCAGACCCGCGTTGATATCTCAGGTCATGACGTCAATCGCCCTTCAACTACCGCAAAACTCTGGACGTGGTCCCTTGAACTTGTGTCGCGCCGACATAACGACTAGGACCAGCTTGGTATAGATGCAACGATTTGTGTGTCCATCTCAAAGCTTGGCCACGGCTCCCTCCCTCTCTTGAAATATCAATACCTTGATCATGATACCGCTGCTGTATATCTTTTCTGGGAATGACACTATAGAATATGAATTACGAAAGATAATATCCTATGAACACAAATTGCCCACTACAAGTTTCCATCACTGAAACTCCCTCTTCTTCGCCAAACCTACTCACATGAGTTCTTCCAATTTCGCTCGATACAGCTGCGCCTACACACCACCACCATCGCCGGGAGATCGAGTTAAGAATATGCACTAAACAGTCCAACAAGCTTTTGCTCGGATGTCACCGAGTGCCGAAGAATTTCGTTCACTCGCCACCAAATCGCAAACGCCCCCTATGTCATTGTCGACAAATAGTAACCATTCACCATCTCAAGATATCTGTTTCTTTAATTCCATTCAACAAGGAAAGATATTTTACTGGTCATTTTAGTTCAGTCTGAATATGCCTTCCTTGAACACATTGCTCATCATCTTGCTATCATATCCTTCAAGGGTATTAATTATACAAGTGTCATCCTTCATCCATCGCTTTCCCTGTGTATTGTTCTGGACCCAATATTGTGAGATATCATCCGAGCCAAAGAGCTCATCACCCAAAAGTACGCCTTGTCTATAATTCCCATGGTTCGAGGCCTCCCGTAATTGAAAAACACATAAACGCCGGTAAGCCCTGCGAGGCTTATGAAACATACCCAATCAAGCGATGGTCATGTAAATACAAAGAAACAAAATGTAAACCGAGCTGCCCATTTAGGCAACTTGATTTCGGTTCTGCGAGGGATGCATCCTTCGGTAGGTTGAAGCATCATCCGTGTAAGCGCGGCCATTGCCAATCCAACTGGAAGGGCGCGATATATGCAGAGGATGATCCTCGCCGTCCTGGTCCTCGGATATCGTGCCTAGAGGGTCTGCTGGGTAATCCGTAGCAGGCGGTGTCCTGGGAGCGCTCAGCGCCGTCTGATAATCTGGCAACAGCAGGTCCCCAGTACCAGCACGTGAGCGAGCCGGGGTTTTGACAGCTGTCTGGTAGCTAGGGACTTTGTTGAGTTCAGTCAAATCAGAGACATCGAGATCGATGTGTTCAGCAGAGTTGCGTGATGAGTCTTCGGAGCTGTTGCTTCTGGTGAGTGCTGCCGTCGCAGGCTCCGATCTCGGAGCTGGGCCTTGGAAGGCAGACGTGGGGGACATGAAGCCAGGCGTGCCTAGTGAGCGCAGAGACGTAGAGGAGGTCGTTCTTCGAGAAGGGTCCAGCGACACATCGGCCAATCGAGATGAAAGTGCCGCAGGTGCGACAGGTAAGCTGTGCGCAAGCGCTGCGAGGTTTTCATTCGAGCCTGCTCGTGACTGTGCGTAGAAGGGACTGCTGACGCCTGACTGAAAGCCGGGCGTCTGGAAGCCACTAACGTCAACGTCCTCATACAACTGATCGAGAACATGCTCTCCATATCCAGGGGGAGCAATTGTCGAAAGTTCTCGCTCGTTGTTAGGTGTGGTTGGTGACTGGTCGACGAGGTTACCCTCCTCATCCAGAGGCATGTTAGGTGAGATAAAGATTGACACTGGGAGTGTTGCTCGAAGCTGCGAGAGATGTTAGTGAACCAGAACTCGTTGTGCTTTCGAATCTCATCTTACCTCAGAAATATGACCATCGGGATTGCAAAGAGCAACGGTCAGCTTAATTTTGTGACGGACCTTGATGCCGTGGTGGTTCAGATCTTGGACGCACTGGCGAAGTCTCTTGGGCAAGTTCAGCTTCTTGGTGACCGCCCAGCCTTCTTGACCAGTATCCTCAATCATATCTTGCCAGTGCTCTTCTCTCGAAACCTCAAACTTCCACATCGAGACCTCACGCTCTGTTCGGTGCTCCTTAGTGCCATAACCTGAGCCTGATCCTTGGACATAGCACTCGCGGACTTCCATCAACCGTGCCGTGATATCGCCCAGCTCGAGCCCTTTGAGTAAGGGTGTGAAGCGCATCTCCATTGTGACCAAGCCGCCAAACACTACGGCCTTTTGGGGGATGATGATTGAGTAATCAACCTTGTTGGGCCAGATGTTCTCGACACTCATGGCGTGGAGGAATTCCAGGGCGCCTGGCTCTAATGTTCGGATGATTCGAAGGTGCTTGTTGGCGTGCAAATCGTATGCAAGTTTCCCACGTCCGACGGTTGCCCTGAGTCTGTATGTGATGGATGCTTCGGGAATGCCCTCAACACTCTCAGCCATGTTGCCGGGAAGCATGTATTCGAAAGGCCATTCGTAGTTGCCGGCGGGGAGCGTCATGCTCTTGCCGTGCGTGCCGACAAAAGGCGCCCATCGGTGCTCGAGTATCGTTTGCGTCTTGTCAACCTTTTGTCCCGAAACACCAGGAGCGCTTCCTCTGGGATCAGCCCAGCTGCGTCGAGTCAGTCGCTTTCCTCTACAGAAACTGGTCCTCAAGTCGAGTCATAGAACTTACGTATGGCGTAGGGTTCCTACAAGTCGCAGTCTAACATCTTCGATTTTGAGGGATGTTTGTAGACACAAGACTAGTGTGCCTTTGAGAACTTGACCAGATGATTCGTGATCACTTCCACGGAAGACGATAAAGTCGCTGTCAAGGCTGAACATTAGGCGCAGTTAGTAAGTGGCCCGAGTCAAGTTATGGCTGAAGATCATCATACCGAATATCGAAAAGACTATATGAGTTTCGCCCCGTCACTGAAGCGAAGGGCTTAAAGGACGGCATGATAACGTATTGTGTTGTATAAGTGGTTGTGGTTTGCTGCAAAGCAGCATGGGAAGGGGGGGCAAAATGGGGAATTGGGTGATATGCCAAGAAGGGGAACTAGAAGGAAAAGAAGAATAAATTGGAGGAGACGGAACGCTTTTATTTAAGATCACGGCTAAGTTCAGTCGAGCGAATGCGCAAGGTGACGAGCTGCTACAACAGCGCAAGCCCGCACGAGTCGGCGGGATGTGTGGATACGGTACAGCCTCTAGAAAAGTTGAGTGGGGCTGTGAGATCAGGAAAAGTCCAAACCCACGAGGGAAGGGTTAAACAAGGGTTGGGTTTGGAAGTTCCATTCAATGGGAGGCGACAAGACGATAGCGCGAAGCAGAGCAGATCAAGTGGCGCGGCGTTTGGTGGAGTCAGGATTGCGATTTGATGCGATATGTAAAAGTTGAAAAAGAGGGTCCTGTTCTGATAAGACGCCCACCGTGTCGGTCTCATTAAAGATTTCTCATTCAGATGAACCTGGCATGTATGTATGATGAAGAAAGATATGGGTATGATGAAGAGGCGGCGAGCAACAAGGAGACGGAACAAGTTAGACGGGACAGCAGTGATCGGGGGCGACCATGATCCTTCTTTTACAGTCGTAGGGGTGTGGAGCTTCAATTGCGTGTAAATCCTGAAAAAGATCATGGGAAAATGAAAAGGAGTTGGAGAGAATAGAAAAGATTAGAATGACATTCGATGTACGCATCTCTCTGGCTTTGATCATGACCAGCCGGATATCCTCTCCCAGAAACAGAGACGGACTGGGCCCAGGCAGATCAACCAACCACTCCGTTCAGTGATACCACCCCTGCAATGCCGTCGTTTAGGGCAGGGTCCAAGCCTCTTTGAGGTAGTGATAACTGATAACAAGGCTTATTCTGCCCCTGTGGACAGCTTCAGCACAGTTACCGTACACAAAGCCGACATGGCGCGGTTGACGCAGGAAAGGTGCTGTGCTGTAACGGTAATTACGGTACAGGACAGGTCTGCCCTGCTGATCTGGCTGCAAGTGTCATGTATCATCTCTTCGTACATCGTACGTGCCGGAAGGTTGCGATGCTAAACGGGCGTCGGATGTTGGCGGGCCGGAGGAAACGGGAAACGACGAAACGTCAATAAGCCGCCTTGAACATCAAATTTGAGATAGGTAATGTATCGCGGTCTTTCATCGCCGATAAGAGGGTCCCAAAATACCAGGCTGCTTGTTGTAATTTGTCTCGGCCTCGTTTGTCTTACTAGCGAGAACCACTGTGGTTAGGCCAGAGCACGCAAGACACTCAACGACGATGCTGAGCAAGGCCAAGACGTTTGAGGCCCTGTAACGGACAAGGGATAGTGGGGCGGAGACGCCGCCGCAGTGCTTGAGGCTGGTTTGTTGCATGAATCGGGACGATTCGTGCTATCGAAGCCTGATGGAAGCTTTTTGCCCTGCAGGTTCAACGCTGTGCCGAGTGTCTGTGGTGCGTGGCGTCGTAACGCCGAGAATTGATGACGGTGGTAGATAGATAAACATCCGCAAGTACCTGAGCATCTCCATTAATAATAAAAAAGGTGACGATGATTGGAATTGCTTCATTTCAGAAGATCATTAATTGGGATGGCCCCCTAAGAAAAGTCTGTGTTGGCCACGGCAGGGTAAGCATCCATGTGCACCTGCCAAATGGTGTCATCGTTGAGCACCTTCTATGCATGTATTGGGCCTTCTCCAATTACGTAGAATACGAACCGGAAGGCACAGCCAATTCAGCTGCTACCTTAAGGTAAAGACAAAACCGTAGCAGTTACTTCACCTCAACTTAGTACTACCTACCCGTACATAACAGGTGTCGGTATCCCGGAGAACCAGTAAATCTATCAATCTCTTTCCCACATCACCAGTCAATCAATGGATGTCACGATGCCTCGAGTCAGAGACATTAAAGCCGGTCTATTATCGTGGAAGGGGCTCTACTGTACTGTACGTACCTCATCAAAGAACATTGAGACAAGACCGACATCTACGACCCCCACGCTGAAACCCCCAATACCATTCAATACCAAGCCCGGATTTACAGGACTAACTACTCCTTGGTCCATCCTTCGAGCTGTTCAACCTTGATTCAAGGATTCAAGGACAGTAATAAATTCTGCAAACGGCGGAACCAAAGACTTGGGAGTCATGGCAGGAATGCATCGAGTTTGGCAATGGCTTGCGATCTCGAAACTCTCTTGTCTATTCTTCTTGCGGCTCCGCTAATCTCTAGTCATTTTCTCAGGGAGGATAAGTACATAACCTGCCAGGCACGTTATTGTGGCGCTCGGTCATAGCACGGGATGTTTCCTGTCGTGATTGAATATTCGCTATCGGGTCGTTGCTTATCCACGAAACGAAGCGCTCAGCCAACCATATTTGTCACATTGTCCCATCGTGGGCACTGAACTGACGCCTTTGTCGCCATACAAGCTGTATGATGAAACTTACTTGCTATTCTGATGATCCTGCGCACGCACGGCAGTAATTGCTACTTATCATATGATTCTCAGCCATAGCACAACGATTGGCACATGCACTGGACATACGGAACATGCAGTTCTAGAATTGGGGGGCACGGCACGAGACCACTCCTACGACACCCTTCTGCCTCCCGTAAGTCATGATACTCAACCGAGATGGACTGAGCATCTGAAAGCTCCAAATAGTCAGGTCTGGATTGGAAGGCCCCAGACTTTGAACGGAACGGCCCCTGTCCCGGAATCTCTTTGAGGTTAATTCATACCCAGCACTATTGGGGTAAACATGTCGAAGATATGCGCTGATTCGATCTAGATCACAATAATCAGACCAGGGAAGGAAGAATCCAGACTCACCTTTAGCCGGACAAACCAGAACAGTCTGAACTATGTATGCATATGGTGAAGGTCCATCCTCTTGACAGTCCTTGCTGACTATCGGTTACCGGGACCGGGAACAGATACGAGCTCGCTTTTTACAATGCGGTTACAGACACCGATGACTGTGTCTTTCAGCCAAGCAGCTTTTAACCTGGCTGTCTGGCTGCATTATGCACTGCACTTTGACAGCATCCATGTCACGCCTAACAAGCTAGCCTTCAGCTTGGCTTGTCTCCATTGAACAAGCGCCCGTCGACGGCCCCTATGTATACCCGTTGATAAAGCACCGAGACGACGGGTCACCGACAAGAAGATCTAGTTAGCCCATTAGGACCACTCATGAGTTCGGTTGTGTCTCTTTGGGCTAATCAGTTTATCCGTGGCGGTACCACATCAGTTCAGCCGTAGGTACTCAAACCTTATCTCATGAAGGGTATCGTTTCCAGATTTCGGCGTTGATATGCACGTTCCGGGGATACAACGGCTCTGCGTCGGCATACTGTCGAGAAAGCCACCTCAGGTAATTACACCTCGGCAGCTCGGGTTACCTCTTATGTCCTGGCATATCACATACTTGTAACTTAGGGTTTCAAGGCTCCGACAACACATTTTCGCTAAAGCCTAGCGGAAACATTCGATGGAGTCTTTTCTTGCGGTTTTTATTCTCGAAAATTGGGCCTTTGATTCGGGAGCCCCAAGTACCGTACCGGACCCGTCCGTTGTACATACAATCAGCCTTGTAAAGTACGCAACCTCTGTGATCACCGCGCCAGGCGTAACAGTTTTCCAGCTCAGCTTTTGGTTGGTTGATTTGCTGCAGGCAGGGCCCGGAAATTCAAGACCGATAGACGCCAAATACCCATCAGACACGACACAGATGTACAATTGTTTCCCGAGCCAATCAACCTATTAACCTAAGTGCCCAAGTAATGATTTCTCAACGTCCAACGAGTCACCGCAAGTTCAAAGATCAATCAGGTCGCTAAAGCAACATCCAGCAAATCTCATCATGACTTCTCATGAGAAGCTCATAACAGCGCAAGAAGTTCATGATACATGCTCTATAACCAGTTCTGGCACTAATTGACTGAGGCCTCTTACAGTACTGTGACTTCATGATACTTTCGATATACAGATATCATCGGCTTATATCTACACCTCTCTGCCCTGTTGCTGGTGTCAAATGCTTAGCACACCCCATCAGGCAAGCCAGCCACCGCATGATGGTCTGTCCTGGCTGGCCCTTGTCCATCAGGTTTGGTTCGGCAACGGCCGTGTTAGTGGGCTGAGTAGCCGACCTCCCTTTTCCCGATTTGCAAGGATGATTTTCAATACTTGTCCCTAGTCCAGCCAGCCACGTCGAGACGCGATAACCAGCTATTGCTAGTCATCTAGTGAACGATTCAACCCTCTGTGTTTGAGGTTCAAGTTACGCTTCCACAGGGCCTGGTCCTTGCTTTGATGCACGGGCGCCGTCGACTCGGTAGATGAGCAACAGGCGTGCAATAAGCTCGCATTAGTGTGCGTGCACAATGTTTACAAATTAATCGATTGGTGGCTCAGGTTGGAGATTGCTGAAGATCCGTCGACTGAGACCTAATGTAGAAATCAAGATCTGATAACGTGAGATGGCAGATGGCAGTATTTCGCATTATCATGGCTACGCAACTGCATGCGCGTCTCTTGACGTTGTCTCTTGCGGAACGGACAATCGGCTGCTTTTCAGCACAATGTAATCTCTCGTCATTCTCGTAAATCTGACAGCTCTCGCTAACAGGAGAGAGATATCTCAGCCTCCTGCTTATCTAGAAACGTGCAGCAATTGGATGTATGTAATCGTTACGTGCGCTAGTCTAGTGTCTGGAGATCCACTGATATCTCTCGGAGGGATAGAAAAAAATCGAACATCTAAAATCAGGGTCCTGCAGCCATTGTGGACCTCAAACACGGCAACTCGTTGTATCACCGAAGAGCCTCCATCACCATGTGGGCTTGACGGAGACGTCTGATTGATAGGACCGACTCATTACTCCTGCAGGACAGCCCAAAACGGTTCCCCAACAGCTATATGACTCTTTGACTACCTATCCCGGCCGGTGCCTAAGCAAGTTCCTTAGCTGCCAAGAGCACATAATTTGTTGACCTTGGATCCTGGGCTAAAACTTGCAGTCAAAAAACAAGATCCGAGGTGGATTTCCGGTCTCAGTATCCGTATACCTACATCGGATTCAAACTATCAAATCCTGGAATCAACCAATGACTCAAACGACAACAACCACTCCCCCTTGCGTATAGCAGTTATTGGATCTCGCTTCACAGGCTCATCCAAAAAGAAAAATGAGGCCAACAAACCCATCATGAAACTCTATTCGCCAGTGCCCTTGTTACGAAGCCCATCGAGGCTCTTATCGCTCAGCATGTATCCGTCTATCATGATGTTGCTCCCGGGGCTTCTGCTCCCTTGGTCTGTGCCGTAAGCTCCGATCCAGGTCGCAGCCACGTTCTCATATGTCCTATTTTAGGAGTTTCACATGTCAGCCTGTCACTTGCGTTATGTGTATGCCAGGAACAAGCGATCGTTGATCTTAATAGTCCAATCGGACCGGAAGATCGACTTGAAGCTTGGTTTGGTGTAGCTTACCTGATTTGCAGCTCGTCATGATAGCGTTCTCTGTGAAATCCAGCCAACACACTGGGTGGGTATCAATTGATTTGTTCTGTTTGTCTCACCGTCAGTTTTACGACACCTTCCAACCTGAAGCTATCACATATCAACCCTCGCATTGAAACTTACAAGTACGGGAGGGAGCATAGGAATTCTGGCCCGCGGCTCCACAGGGTGTGCGATAGCCATTTCCTCGTCTTCGGTATCTAGGTTCGAGTTTGATCGCAACCTTGAGTTGGACGTGGTGGCCGTCTCAGCTCGCTGCAAAGCCGTATAGCGCGATGAGACAGATCCACGGTGTCGTACAGACTGCTATAGTAGTCAAATACTGTCAGCGATCGAGTCGTGTAAACGACGTGGCGTAGATTAAAGATGTCACAGTGCAATGCCGTGTAGCATCACATCTTCCGGCATCGTCGATGTTGGTGTTAAGCACATACCGCTTTGGGTCGGTGAAGCATGCCGACGCTGAAGTCCCACAGACAAAGACGCCCGTCTTCTCCCACGCTACCGAAACGATAGTTTCGCTCATCGCATCTCCAAGGGTCAAAGGCAACGGCTGATACCCAAGACTGGTGTCCCTGGCATCTAGCTACCAGAGCCGAGTCCGACAGTGACCATATTGATATCAAGTCGTCTTGTCCACCAGTCAATACGTATTGGCCATCTGGGGACCAACAAACACATGTTAGTCCTCCGTAATAGGAATAGAACACGTCGAGCAGCCTAGCAGCCCAGTCAGATAAGCTTCTCAACAAGATCAGGCGCCAGGAACTTCGACTCACTCTTCCTTCAGATAGTCAATGATTCTTAGCGTGCCGTCCTCGGACACAACAGCCAAGTGTCGGTTATCAGGCGAGAAGGAGAAGGCGTTGATTCGATGGTTGGATAACTTCCAGGCGGCGACTGGATTGACCTTTTGATTTTTGGAATGCACTGACTTGTTGATTCGAATAGAATTGTGATGAGCTCCGCCATTGCTGGCATCTAACGACTCACCACTCGTCCCATTCACATTTCCATTAATCGCTTCGTCTTCGGGGTTGAACTGAGCATCCTCTTTTTCCTTGTCATACACGACCAGCGACCCATCCATGTGGGCAGCTAGGAATAGGTTTTCTGATCCTGGAATCCATCGGATCGCCGCAACTGGTGTTCCATTAATTGCGCCCTAAGATATGCTGTCAGCGGACTGTCTGTCGAATACTAGATCCTGAGCACTATCCTACATTTTTGTTCAGTCGTGTATATCGCTGCGAGATCGGCTCCCACCAGATAACCTCTCCAGTTGAGAAGCCCATTATAACATCCAGATGCGAGACGCTCTTGGTATGGACATTAACATCATGACATAGACAATGCGCTTTCGTGAAAAGAATCTTGGTCAGATAGTCTTGCTACTCGTGATGTCAGTCGAGATGTCCGAGGATGGCCTCGCTACGCAACGGCACGAACCTTTGATGACGATGACATGTCAAGCCACTGGAAGGCGCGGTTAATGTTTGCAAAAGCAAAGAGGCCATCATTGGATCGCTCTGTAAGTTTCTTAGACAGGCTTTCGTTAACAATAACGCGAGAGATGAAAGACGAGTTGCTCTTTGTCATGTTGTTCTTGGGCTTTCTCTTCTTGTTCACATCCTTGGTCGGCACCTGGGTAAGCAAAGCATTGCCTTCGCCAAAAGCAGGTGCAGAACCAATGGTAATGGAGGTAGCCTGAGCATCACTTGTCGAACCGGTACGGCCCTCCTCACTCGTCTTGCCATTTTCGGCAGAGTAGCGGCCCTCGTTGGGATGCTCCTGAATACTGGATGGCGCGCCACTCAGGGCGAGGGTGGTCGAAGAGAGTCCTCTATACAGAAAGTTTGGAGCCGGACGACTCTCAAGGGCGATGAGAGAGACTGAGGTACCGGCGCTGGCAGGCTGCGGGAGAGTCGATAGCGGGTTCGGGTTGGGGACGGTGGCTTCGGAAGGATGGGGCGGAGGTGTCGCAAGATGTAGGTCTTCTTTAAGTGTATACGTGCCTGGTGGGTTTCACTACGTAAGTCGAGATGCCGCGAGATCATGGAGAAGTTATTGTCTACCTTCTCCAACCAGGAATTGCCATTCGGGACCTGTCGGATTCGATAACGTATTGTTTGTCTCTATCATGGGAACAGGATGTATGCCACCGGCGCCATAAGGCCCCATGGTGGGATATCGTGGCGGGGGAGGTAACACACTGGAATTCCATTGTGTCAGTTTGTGTCGGGCATAGACGAGCCGATGCGCAAACGCCGGCGCATGAGGAGATTATACGCAATGGGGGGAGGGAGTGGACGTACAACATGATGGCGTTTCAGAGAATGCTTGTATATTTTTCCAATGAGATGAGCTCTACAATTGACAGACTGAATGAAGGTATCGCGATATTTAGTCGTTACTGGATGGAAGTGGAAGCGGAAGTGGAGGTAGACGGTCGACGTTCGGAATTGGAAGGTGCTATACGTCACTGAAGAGCGAGGTAATGGCCCTGGGATAGCAAGACTCGGCGAGTCCTATACCTAGCAATCGATCGACTCGTGAGTACCGCAGCAAGTAGAAGAGGTTGACTTTGTGAGGCTGGGAGGATATAGCCGAGGACTGGTTGAGGTGAGAGGAGGATTGGGGTTGGATCATCGGACTCGGAAGCCGCAGGCGCAGCTGCAGGCAGACGATAGTGTGGGGTAAACTGGGGAAAACGCTACATCCATTCTGGCCATTCTAGCCATTGCAACGGCCAGGGTTCCAGAATGAAGGGCTACTAATGTAAGATAGTACCTCGATACCATTGGGCGTGACTTGAATATTGTGACATTTAGCCATTATCCAACACAGGCTGGCGAAATACACACTTCTCCTCTCACTAGCATTTCACTATGCGCGCTTTTCGATGAATCAACTTGAACGTCCAAAGTTTCTGGGTTGGAGCTAGGGGTTCTGCATGGCGCAACGGTTCCCGTTCAGCGTCAAAGTACCTACAGCAACTGTCGGTTGGCCGTCAGAGGTTGCATACAAACTGTATTGATGTTTCCAAACGTTTACCAGCTCCAGTGTCTAGACGCATTCAGATCTGTTGGGAATCGCCATGGCATATACATACAGTTTTAGTCGCGCCACTATATTATCCACCGAATCCTTCAATCGGTTGAACATGGATTCGATGTTCTGATCAAGACGTATCATGGACGGGTCAGTGAGAGATAAAGATCAGTCCATCGCATCTCTGTCGAGTTTACCGCCTGTGCAAGACTCATTCTATCAAATTAGAGAGAGAAAATAGTTTTGCTCATTTCCCAGATATTCGACCAATAATTACTCTACTCGAACCGAGCACCTACCCAGCAGGTCGGGCGTCAAGTGACGAGATGGATGAGTTGTACAGGAACCGAGCCCGAATATGTAGGCGCCAACTTACAGGCGGTATCAGCCTACCATCGTCTCCCAGGACCTGAAATGTGGGGACATTGATTCCCTGAAAGCTCAGGCTCGTACGGTGGCGGCGGTTCATGACAACACACTCACTGAAAGCGGGACGCATCTTTAATTGATCGTCCCTCAAACCACCCAATCCTTGCTCGTCGCATCACTTGTTTGTCTGCCATCAAACTCCAATTTTAGGTCTGGCACTTGGTTTGAATTATTAGCTGCATATTGGCAGCTCTACCTAATTTATCCCCTTCTCTGCACCGCTCTTTCTGTCTCGTCTTGTTTCTCATATAAAACTGAGGCATGGCCTGAGGTGATGGATCATCTTCTCTGCAAGACTCTTTTCTTTCGTGGCTCTCTCCAACTCGGTTTTCTATTCCTTGAACATCTCTGAATAATCGCCATATCCTCCAATTCGACCAATACATCTATCTGCTGACACCTCTGCTGTTGCCGCCGCTACGATTCATTCATTCCCCACGATCGACCTACCGAACCCACGATATCAGCAGACCACCGTCCCCGTACCGTTCCCTCTTGGGCATGGAACCTTAATGACGACATACTTTCACCAAATACTCCGATAATACCTCCATCATGGCCGCTGGTACGAACAACCTCCAACTAACTCGGCTCCGACTCCACTGCGAGCTCTTCAATCCAACAACAACTTGTTGCTCAAATGACTAACCTTCCTTGCGCAGTGCGCATCTGCGTCTGCGGTGATGAAAGTACCGGCAAATCGAGCCTCATCGCTTCTCTCGTTAAGGATCAATTTGTCAACAACAAAATCCAGCCCGTCCTTCCTCAAATCACTATTCCTCCTAGTATTGGTACGCCCGAGAATGTCTCAACAACCATCGTCGATACCTCAGCTCGCCCTCAAGACCGAACTACTTTGCGCAAAGAGATCCGAAAGTGCAATGTCATCCTCCTCGTCTATGCCGACCATTACAGCTACGAAAGAGTAGCATTGTTCTGGATGCCATACTTCCGATCCCTCGGCGTCAACGTCCCCGTCGTATTATGCGCCAACAAATCCGATCTGGCTGGTCAGGGCACCACACCTCAGGTAGTCGAGGAGGAATTGCTACCTGTGATGGCTGAATTCCGCGAAATCGATTCTTGCATCCGCACCAGTGCTCGAGACCATCGAAACGTAAACGAAGTCTTTTTCCTTTGTCAAAAGGCCGTAACTCATCCAATTGCCCCTCTATTTGACTACAAGGAGGGGCACCTCAAGCCTCTGTGCGTTGACGCTCTGAGGCGCATATTCTATCTTTGCGACAAAGACCAGGACGGATATCTCAATGAACAAGAAATGAGAGACTTCCAAGCACGTTGCTTCGATAAACCTCTGACAGCGGACGACCTAGACAATATCAAACTCAGTATCTCGAAATCGCTGCCCACGTCCGAGTTAGAAAAGGGCATTGACCTGCCAGGATTCCTGCAATTAAACAAACTTTATGCTGAGAAGGGTCGCCACGAAACTATCTGGATTATCCTTCGAAAATATCACTATACCGATAGTCTCAGTCTCGAAGACAAGTTTATTCGACCCAAGTTCGATGTTCCAGAGTACTCGTCGGCCGAGTTGAGTCCTGCTGGTTATAGATTCTTTGTGGATCTCTTCTTGCTGTTTGACAAGGACAATGATGGTGGTCTCAATGATCAAGAACTCGAGGCTCTGTTTGCCCCAGCTCCAGGGCTTCCCAATTCCTGGACCGACTCGTCGTTCCCCTCCTCGACTGTAAGGAATGAAGCTGGGCATGTTACTTTGCAGGGCTGGCTGGCTCAGTGGAGTATGACAACATTTATCGAACCCAAGACAACTATCGAATATCTCGCGTATCTGGGATTTGAGCCTTCGAACCCCAAGGAACCCATCACCGCGGCGCTCAAGATAACCAAGCCTCGCAAGAGAAGAAGACGTCCTGGTCGGGTGGAGCGTAACGTGGTCCTCTGCTACGTTCTTGGTGCATCAGGAGCAGGCAAATCCGCTCTCCTCGACTCATTCCTCAACCGCCCTTTTGATGGTCTTTACCATCCAACCATCAAGCCACGCCGCGCTGTCAACAGTGTCGAGCTACCAGGCGGAAAACAGGTGTACCTCATTCTGGAAGAGCTTGGGGAGCTGGAGCCTGCAATCCTTGACAATCCGGCCAAATTAGATGCTTGCGATCTTATTTGCTACGCCTATGACTCATCTGACCCCGACTCGTTCTCGCATATCGTTGATCTGCGGAACAAATACGCGCACCTTGATGAGCTCCCTTCGATTTATACGGCTCTCAAGGCAGATAAAGATAAGACAAACCAACGCTGTGAGCTTCAGCCAGATCAGTATACTGCCTCACTCAACATGAGCCTGCCGTTGCATGTGAGTGTCACCTGGGGTAGCATCAGTGAGCTTTTTGTAGCTTTTGCAGATGCCGCTACAAATCCTAGTACGGCTTTCCCCAGGAGCAATGAGGAGGGGCCTGATCGGACCAGTTTGTATATTGCATTGGGCGCCACGGCCTGCGCAGGAGTTGCTGCTTTAACGATATGGCGACGAGCAACGAATGCTCTTTAATTAGTGTCGCAGTTGAGTAGATGTTCACCGGACCTCAGCAAGTTTTGAGGAAGAGTCCGTTACTTGGAAAGAGGACAGGCATTGCATAGGGAGGAGTTGAAACTCACCATTCAGAAAGAAACATGATACCCAGCTCCATCGAAAACACATTTTCATCACATAGCTATATAATCAACAAACATCGTCTTTTCTTATCTTGATCGACTAGCCCTGGTGATAGTGGTGTCGTTTCTCCTGTATATGAGCCAAACTCCTTAACACCAAGCCCATGATACCACCCCCAATGTCTTATACCGATACAGAACTGATTAGACCTTATAGAAGCAGAACCCGACGTAGAAACTAGCAGCTTCCATCTCCTCATCGGATACCAGAAGAGGGCCTCCACCACGCTCCCGTACGCCCATGCGCTCGCTCAGCGGACCAAGCTCGCGGTCATCCTTCTCCGCCTCCCAGATTTCGGGAAAAGTGCGATGAAACTGCAACTCAAGGTTGTAGTCCTCGGCGAGAGCACGGAAGGCCTCCCAGGGTACGACATACTCAGGCACCTCCTCTACAGCTTCGTCTAGAAAGAAGTTATATTTCCAGCCGAAGGCGGGTCGAAAAACACCATCATCGGGTGTTTTCCCCGGGAAGCGCACACGGTAAATCGAGTTACCCCATTCAGCGGTCGGCTCCTCCTCGCCCTCTTCCAGCTCGCCATCCTCTGGCTCCGTTTGTTGCGGTGTTGTCGAGCCATCGCCGTTCTTTTCTTCGCTTTGCTTAGCTGCATGCTTGGCAGCAGCCTCCTCGTTGAATTTACGGACTCGCTCGCCCAGAACATCAGAATTAGGGATGCAGCCGATGAAACGTCCTCCTTTCTTGAGTGCTCCAGCGACATTGCGGAGCATGTTACGCGCATTCTTTTCCGACTCGAAAGCATAGTGCATAGAGAACATCATGCTGACAACGTCGAAACCTCGGCGGTTCATAGGTGAAGGGTCGAAGCCGACTTGCTGGATGATGTCGAGGTTCTCAATGGACTCGCCGAAACAATCTTTGACGTGGAAACGAGCGTCGAACAAGCGCGGCGGCGGTCGTCGGTGTCCGCCGCGCCCACCTCGCCCGCCACGGCTACCCAGTGTGCGGTAGCGGTCGCGGGCTTGCTCGATACTCACGTCAGCGGGATCGAGTCCGACATAAAGCTGAATTGGTTGAGGAGCCTGCTGCCATTTGTTGAGATCGCCGCCCTTTCCACATCCCATGTCCAGCACAAGTAGGTCCTTGCCACTGGAGCGTCCAGCTTCGCGCGAACCAGGGGTGTGGTCTTCATCGGGTGAATAACGCTGGATGATGCAGCTCTTGATCCAATTGTTGAAAACACGGAGTCCCTTGATCTTGCTGTCTCTTGTTCTCCAGTCGCGACCACGCTCTGGTACGTTGTTGTAGTGGTGTCGCACAAGATCACTGTTGTTTCGAATCCTCTCCTGTTCAGCTTCGGCGGCTTCCTCAGCCGCAGCTGCGCGTTCTCGTTCGAGCTGGCGCTGTCGGATGGCATCACGCTCGGCCTCTGAGATACGCGCACGCGCACCGGGGCGCTTCAGCTTTCGAGGCTGCTCTGATGGCGAGAGGGCGCGCCGCTTTGCTGGCTGAAGTGATTTGGCATTGTATGGCTGGGGTAGATCATCTTGAGGTTCGTCGTTGGCAGGACGCTTGCGGTGGTTTCGCTCGTCACCGTCGTCGCTATCAGAGTCTCTGCCCATTTCTGGCAGTTTCACTCGTTCTTTTTTTGAAATATGTGTCGATTGACGTTGCAATGGTAGATGCGAAGTTGGATGTTAAAGTTATTGAATTGAAAGGGAAATGGAATATGATGCAAGTTCTGTATCTAATCTCAGCGTTGCACTGATGTAAGGGCGCTCGGCCCATGCGGTCCAGCTGCATCAGCCTACCCTGCACCTATTGGTCTATAGCCACTGCAACTCAATGAATGAATGATGACTTATTAACTGCTCTGTGTCTACGGAGAATGCTATTTACTTTTCAACTGAAAACAATTTGATGAAAAGTCAGTCATACTTGGCTACGTCAATGGCGAAAGGATAATGCCATGGCCGTGCTGTAAGGGTTTTTGACTGCCAGATAACTACGACGTAAGCAATGCCAAATAACTTATACATATCAAAGAATTGAGTACTTATTGAACCCATGACGGCATTCTGCTATTCCATTGGCTACCAAGCATCAGGGGAGGCTGAAGCACGACCTAATAACTATTCGCTGTGCAACTCATTATATACCAAATCCTTTGAGCTTGGTAAAGTTGAGCTGAGTGCTCGAGGTACGTACCAGTCCATCAGTGCGTGTCCCGCTGGAGCCTTGCAGCACAAAGCCGCCTAGCAGACCCCCACTATCGCCTCGCCATCCAATGGATCCAACTGTCATTGGATTAGGTGCTGTATCTGCTCAACACCAAGCTCTATCGACCTGCCTCTGAGCTTCTCTCGTCATCCACCCGTCAAACCACAACATCAACAACAACAGCAACGCCCAACAGCGAAAAACGTCACCGTTCTCGATTCTTCTGGGCAACTGCCGATACCGCACTCTGCGCTTAAAACAATCCCAATCTCTCGACGACAGCGACCTCCTCCATCATGGGTTCCGACCCCCAGTACGCGAAGTGGCCATTGCTGCCTCTGTCGCAGCACGTTTTCACCCTCACAAACGGCTATGCCACCAAAAATGCGCAACGAGCTGCTGTAAAGGCCCTTCAAGATGCCATCGCACGGGACAAGATGGCTCCTTTTTACCGATATCTCGCCCATCCACTCGACGGCGTCCTTAACACTCTTGGCGAGGGCGGCTCTTCTGCTCCTGGACGACCTCTCAGCAGAAAGTCCAGCCTTGTTGGAATGATTGCTACTAAGCCTGCCACTACCATCGTCAGTCTTCCCTGGGACGAGGGCCTTTACAACCAGTTGAAGGAAGACAATGACCGGGAGCTGGAAGAGTTCCAGAAGGAGGAGGATGACGCTGTTGAGCAAGCTGGTGACACCGAGGTCATGGCTGCTCAGGGGAAGCGAGCTGAGTTCTGGGCTCGTGTTGGAGACAAGGTATGTTTGTTATCACATAGAAACCCAGGTTCTAGCCACAAATTGACTTCGCCTGCTAACACCCACCAAGGACAAGGCCATTGCCGCCTATGAGAGCCTCTCCGAAAAGACGGGAATCCTCGGTACCAAGATCGACGTCGTCCTCGCCATAATACGCATGGGCCTCTTCTATGGCGACAAGCCTCTTGTCAAGAAGCACGTCGAGCGCGCCAAGACACTCGTCGAATCAGGCGGTGACTGGGACCGCCGTAACCGTCTCAAGGCCTACGAGGGTCTGCACCTACTCACACTTCGCTCCTACAACCTCGCCGCGCCTCTACTGCTCGACTCTCTCTCCACATTCACCAGTTACGAACTCTGCACCTATTCCAACCTCGTCGTGTACTCCGTTCTTGCTGGTTCAGTCTCCCTCAAGCGAGTCGATTTCAAGTCAAAGGTTGTAGACGCACCTGAAATCAAGGCTATTCTGGGTGATGGTGAGGACAAGCTTCTTGCTCTGAGTGGTGCCCTCAGCGCTGGCCCTGGTGCTGATGACACTACCGGTGCGAAGGCCCCGAAGACGGCCACCGCTGCTGTCAACCTGACCACGTTGGGTACCAGCACGGAGCAACCTGAAGCTGAGATGGCCATTGACTTTAGCCCTCTAGCGCTGCTCGTTAGTAGTTTGTACAACGGAAACTATAAGACCTTCTTCAAGTCTCTGGCTGAGGTTGAGGAGCAGTTCCTAAACCAGGATCGCTATCTTCATGAGCACAAGAACTGGTTTATTCGGGAGATGCGACTTCGCGCCTATCAGCAACTTCTCCAGAGCTACAGAGTTGTTGGGCTGGAGAGCATGGCCAATGACTTCGGAGTCACAGTTGACTTCCTCGATCGGTATGTGACACGTTACGCAATTTTCATGAATGAACACAACCTGACAGATTCTCTACTAGTGACCTCGCCCGCTTCATCGCAGCTGGGCGTATCCCCTGCACCATCGATCGCGTGACAGGCAAGGGTGTGATCGAGACAAACCGCCCCGATGACAAGAACAAGCAGTATCAGGATGTTGTGCGACAGGGTGATCAGCTCATCACAAAACTACAAAAGTACGGCCAGGCTGTGCGACTGAGGGGTAGTGAGAGGGCATAAATGAGGCGATTTATAGATGAGGAAGCTGGTGCTTGGCCTTTGTCATGCCGTAACTAGTGGGGGAATAAAGCGAAGAGACAGAGAATAAGCCCATGCCTACATATTTCCTTGACTGACTGTACAGTACGTACAGTACAGATATGATACGATATGTTTATGTTATGGATTAGACAAGCCATTGCGGTAATAGTCTTAGTAGTAGATTGGCTGGGTCCCGGTGAAGAGAGCCAGAAAAATGGGCTGATCTGATATCACACCCCTTCCACACCGAGGTGACTGACAACTGCACACACACTGCGGAGCTACGTTAGCTGCATGTATCCGAATGGAATGATATGATATGATATGATATTAAGCATACAGCTAAGAGTCGATCTACCCCAGTCTTCTTCTCTGGTACCTGCGCATGCAAGCAAGGGTCAGAATCGAAAGATCAACAGCACACGTCTACCCCGGATTTCTCTGTCGTGTTCCGACAGGCTAAGAGTCTTGATTGATTGATTGATTGAGGTGGGACACGCCATATTGACTGATACATAACGAAAATGCTAGATTGGTGAACTTCTGTCTATCCGATACCTATCGGGGCGCTAAACTATGCAAAACGATTTCCTGTTTGATAATCCTAAATTTTTATCTCTTTCTCCTCCGCACGCCAGATTGTCGCTCCCGCCCTGGGGCCCCGCTCCAAGTCCGGCTTTGCGACAGGCGTATCGGGGGTTCGACTCACGATGACAATACTGCGCAACTGCGACTGATGCTTCATCGGTACTTCTCGAGGAACTCCTTGTGGAACTTGACGATGCTGCCAACCCACTCGGTGCCAGGTGCGAGGAAGGTTGTTCTGAAATGCAGGGTACCCTCTTTCTGACCAAAGCCTGAGCCGGGAACGACGCAGATACCGGTGGCCTCGAGGAGACGCATGCAGTAGAACTCGTCTGGGCTTCGACCCTCTGCCTTGGCAGCCTCGGCGGCCTTCTCGGGCAGGTTGATGGTGGGGAAGAGGTACATGGAACCCTGGGGCTCGGCGCACTCAACTCCCTCCATCTGAGAGAAAGCCTTGTGAAGGGCGGTAGCACGCTCTTGAAGACCGGTGAAGATTCCATCATACTCCTTCTTGTAAAGCTCATGCGAGGGCTCGCCTGGCTTGGGAGGGTTGACCATCAACTCAACGATGCACTGACCAATAACAGGAGCGCAGAGCATGATGGAAATGAACTTGTAGATGTTGGCCTCGACCTCGGCATCGAAGTTGACAAGCTCGAAGTAACCTCCACGGTGACCACACTCGCCAACCATGCCCTTGGAGACACTGTGTAGAGAGGCGAGCTCGAGGCCGTCGAACTTGCCAGGGTTCTCCTTCTCAAGGGTACGGAGGACAGCCTTGAAACTGTGGAACTTGCCGACAAAGACATTTGTCTGGTACACCTCGTCGGCCATAACAACTAGGTTCTCCTTGTTGGCGAACTCAAGGACAGCACGGATGTCCTCCTCGGGAAGAGAGGCACCGGTAGGGTTACCGGGGTTGATAATGACAATGCATCGAACGTCAATGCCGTCAGCCTTGGCCTTTTCGTATGAGGCACGGATGGTGTCGACGTCGGTACCCCAGTTCTTATGCTCATCCAGGAGGTAAGGAACAGCTGTGGCGTCCAACAGGGAGAGAGTAGCAGTGTAGAGAGGGTACTGAGGAATTGGAATAAGGATGCCGGTCTTAGGGGAGGCGCAGATGACGTTGAGAAGGGTGTTGACACCAGAGGAGGCACCGGCGGACAGGTAAATGTGATCGGGATCTGCAGGGAAGCCATCGCGACCTGAGACAAGTTAGTAACACAGCAGAAACAGAAGCGACGGCAGAACCCACGTTCAATAAACTTGGCGATGCTATCGCGGATAGCAGGAACACCGGTGCTGGCACTGTAGGCGCCAACGGAGCCGATCTTGCTCAGGAGGAACTTGGCGCGCTCGATGACATCGGTCTGGTAGCCAAAGTGCTTGGTGAGGGCCTCCTCGTTCTGAAGCAGTATAGGGTTCTCGAGAAGACTGGCGACCTGGCGGAAGAAGGTGATGGGCTTCTGGTCGAGCTGTTGAGGGTTGCCAATGTTTGCAGAAATAACCTGTTTGAAGGGGAGATCGCCGGTATCGCCCTTTGCGATCTTGGCTCGGTATTCCTCGGACTTGACAGCAAGTTCACCACGAACGGCGTACTTGGCAGCGACGACTCGCTGGTTGATGTTCTCTGAAGTCAATCTCATTTTGGCAGGATAGGTAGAGAAGAATGAGGTAGAGGAGGAAGAAGTCGAGGTATAAGGATAGAGGTGAAGATGATAGTGGGGAGTAGTAGTAGAAGCAGAAGCAGAACTTTTTGGCGGGGTGAGTAAGGGTCGCGGGGTAGATGTGGCAGTAATAGATTTACTCCAAGCGCAAGCACGGGGACCAATCTTATAGTCTGTGTAGATACCAAAAAAGTCGAACGAGTTAGCAATCGAATCATCCAATATTTATAAAGCGAATCATGTAAATTGTCAGTGCTTTTGTAGGCCTGAGTTTTGAGTCAAGGGGAGAGAGCAAGGTGAGAGAAGTGAGGTGAGGTGAGGTAGGTATCAGACAAGGATGAGATAGATGAGGAGGATAGAGGGGGAGCATACAATGAGAGAGTATTACACCAAAACAACACTATTGTCGGTGTAAGAGGGTATCGTGAGCTAGGTAGGTAAAGATCAAAGAAAGAAGAAACTCGACTGAGTCGGGAAGAGAGGATAGAGCCTGATACAAATAGACCAGGCAGACGAGACAGGACAAGACAAGACAAGGCAAGAAAAAGACTCGGCTCAGAACTAATGTCTAGGTAATAGAAATCCTCTCGTAGACAGAAGCACTGTTAGTAATAAAAAGCAGAGCAGAGCAGAGCAGAGCAAAGCAAAGCAAAGAAAAGAAGAGACCCAAAACCTTTCACTAAAAAGGTAACTAACTAATCCACTCTCACCCACTCACACAACACACATCGCCATCGACATCGTAACCTTGGGCCGTAGCGCAACCCACGTCTGGGGACGGACGGAGACCCGGAGTGGATGTGATGCAGATTGTGCGGTTTGTAGACAAACAAAACACCTCAAGTAAGATCAAATCAAATCATGGGGTCCCCAAAATCAGCGCATTATGCTTGTGATTGCATGACTTGAGCGCAGTGTCCATGACGAGGTAGACAAATTGAATGGCTTCAACCCAATCCGATCAACGGACGACATCCGGGGGTGCTTTGGGGGAGAGCGTGGAGAGAGAGCCTAGAGCCTAAGAGCGTGGGTGATGACCTGGAGACAAGCAAGGGTGCTCCAAATTGGACATTGGGGTTCATTGACTGACTTTCAAGGCCCGGAGCCGGGACGTGACCCCGGAAGGGCACAGACTCATACAGACGCAGCTGCACATGACCATGACTGAAATTCATGATACCCTCTCTCTCCCGGTCTCCGGGCACTTTGTCCGAAGCCCTCGGAAGACTCCGAACATTGATAACAAGAAAGGAAAAAAGAGATACAAGGCAACAGAACAGGCTCTCGTTGACCCGAGACCAGCCGGACTCTATCTCGGATCCAACGCCGCTCTTCGGCACTCGCTCTCATATCAGAAGAGAAAAAAAGAGGCGGCTGAAGAAGGACATGATAAAACGTAATACGTTGAAACAGAACATGGATAACAAGGTGCAGGGGTAATGACAGTGCAGCTGCAACAAAAGCCATGAAGGACAGCTATAAGAGATCCAATCGAACGTAGTGTCTTGCGCCATATCTCTCAGCTGTCTTTCTCTGTCCTTGTCTCCTAGATCATCTTCCAAGAGCATCTCGCTCCCGTTTCACTGGGACCGGACCGGCCCTGCAGACTGGGGCGCAGATGCATATAAAGAAAAAAACAACGCAATTGGGCGAGACAATAAAGAAAACCCAGAGAAATCTTCCATAGAAGTTCTCAGAAACGTACCTGAGGTAGCGGGGCGCAAGGTGCTCGCACATCGTTGACCGGGCTCGTTGATCTCGGGGCTAGCAGCCAGCCTCGAAGGTTTTAAAGGCGGCTGGCATCGCAGCGTCTGGCCGAAGCGGACCGATGCCACGGGACTTCGACAGGCTAGCATTAGGTCTTTGACGCCAGGAAATGATATTCTTCTGTGGTATCCTGTCCTGTCTCTGTGGAGGCGTGCGTGGAGCTTTGATGCGGAACGATACAAGGGTCCTGGCCGCTGAGACGGTAGTTGAAAGAACTGCCGTTCAAAATATAAGTACGTACGTGCAAGAGGAAAAATAAATATGTATAATGCCCAAGACCTACAAGGTTTGAGAGCCAGAGTCTGATTGTGAAGCGAAAGTTACTCTGTTGTCTGGCCAGATAAGCTACTCACTCACCACTAACCTGTTGAGCTAGTTTGGAGATCAATATAATAAGATCCCGTCAAAATCGCTATCACCTCGCCGCTGTTTGGTCTCGCTTATTCCCGTGGCGGGTAAACTGTGACTGGGAGCTTTACGTAGTAGGGCGCAGATATACCTGGGAGTCACCGCAGATCCGTTTCCGCAATTGTGATTGTTGACGAGAAATAGGTAGAAGACAACAGCGCGAGATAATGTATTCGAATCAAAGAGGGGCAATGTCCTTGTTGGGGTTGTAAGAGCCAAGATTGTGATGGTCACGCTTGTGTGATTAAACGCACTCTACCTCGTAGATAATCTCCGTGCAACATTCACCTCTGGGATTAGATGCTTGGTACAAATCAGTACGTTCTGGCTTTTTTTATACCGCTTGTTGAGATTGTCTCTCAAAGAATTTGCCCGATATCGTGGTTAGGGACATTGTGTGCAAGGGTTTAAATAGTCGAGACCACCGGTCTCGGATCAAGTACAGTAATCTAGTCAGAACCAATTGATCAGTCCCCCAAATGTCTTGCCTGTATAGTAGCCCTGTCACGATAACTACCTACCAGTAGCTACTAAAGCTTGTGTGACAACTTAAGACAGCTAATACAACATTGTCAGATAAGGTGCAACACCTTAAAAATACAGCTTCTCATTGGTCAGCCATGTTTTCAACTCAAGCTCTCGGTGAACATCACAGCGCTCATACTTGGACCTACTCACCGAGATGATTAGTGGGGTCAAGCATGGCAGTGCCCGACCATTACGGCGCTACGTTTTGCCGACAGCCGCCTAACGTCGCCTGTATCCGTAAATTCTCTACTATCACGGCGACTGACTGACGTACAGCAAGATCAAGCCATCTGATCCACGTCTATCGAAATGGCAAAGAAGGGTAGGCACATACTCTCAAGACGACCCGACCCGACCCGACACAATCAGGCTGTTGCTGACTCTCTTCTCTTACAGCCAAGGCTCGCCTGGTGCATGCGCGCCTCGTCTCCATGGCCATGACTGGCTTCTTCTACACCTTCAAGCGTCCCAGAACCGCACCCATGATGAGCATGTTAAAATACGATCCCATCGGTACGGCCTGACATACTGAAAGTACCTGGACCCATCAGCTAATTCTGTCAATGGCAGTGCGTAAGAAGGTCTTGTTCCTCGAAACCAAAAAGAGGAAATGAAAGCCGCCCACACTCGCTCCGTCATACCTTGTTCGATACAAGAACCCGACAACCGAGTTTCTTGCGTGAGCTAGAATTGGCTCTTTGACTGCAAACCACCACGTACGCGCCATGTAACACTACACTAGAGAGCATCGCTGGAGTTTTGGGCATCAGGATCCTGCCTCTTCGAATTGCGACTATATATGTACAACATAGATCACAATATTGCCCTTATGGATATGGCTGCATTCGCATGCCACTGAATTTAACGACCAGAGTATCATGTTACTGTGCCTGCCTTGTGCGTGAGCTCTGCCTAGGTATTTGGATACAAATGACAGGGTGCAAATTATCATCCCATCCACCATTCACGCATTATCTTCTTCAAACCACCAAATACCCACCATGATTGTTCCACAAAGTTAAATTCTGGTTACCTATGCTCCCCGGAAATTTAAAGGTCTAGGAATTGGAGAAACCTCGAATTCCCCCAGACACACAATATCACTGCGTCATGGCGATTACCTGCGGTCTTTTCGTTTGTAAGCATATTAGTTCGACTGCTTCGAGTACGTCTTTCGGATCACATGGCGTGTTCGAAGCAACAAAGGCCTGTCTGAACTCTTAGGTTGCGAGTCGGCTGTTGCTTCCTCCGACTTGACTCGTTTGTTAGTTGATGCGATATGGTCTTCCTTGTCCACAAAAGAGATACTGTGTTTTTTCCCGATTCCACCGTCATCCTTGCCATTTGGCAGAATTTCTTTGGAAAAATCTTCCATAGTAGGGAAGTCCCAGTTAGGACGTGCAGACTTTGGCTGGATCAAACCCGACCGAATCTGTTCAACCATCTCGGGGTTGCTACAGTCTGTAGCCGAATTGACTTTAGCTATCACAGGCCTGTTGTACTGACTGTGATTTGCAGGTGGTCTGATAGTATCGGTTTCCTGCGTCGAGGCAGTCGAAAGTCGTAGGATAGATCGGGGGGCAGAGCCTTCTCGGCGCCTCGTTTGCTCCTGTATTACCGAGGGCGCCGGCGCCGGTGAAGATGCTTCCAATGCCGGACTGGCTACGACGACTTTGCGACGATATCTTTCTCCCTGGCGATGTAAATCAAGAGTAGTGAGGTCACTCAGACTGGCCGATCCCTTCCTGTCAGTACTCTTCTCTTGACCACATGACTTAGACTCCTCAGGAACGTGCTCATTAAAGTAAGAGGACTGAGTTCCTGTCTCGCCCCCTCGTGGTGCATGCGAGCCGTCAGGTTGCGGTATAACACCCAATTTCTCATTAACCCAGTGGCGCTCCTTGCTCAGGTAAAAGGCGGTGGACTGCATTACCTGATTAAGATCAACCATCTTGTTGAATGTGGTGTTAAGATTTTCCACCCTGGGAACCTGCTCGGTCATTCCTTCTAGCTGGTTCTTCAAAGCATCAATTGCTTTGAGATCCTGGATCTGTCTCTGGAATAGTTCTGCATTTACACCGGAGCCACGCTCCAAAGCAACAAGCTGTTTTTGTAGATCGTGGGTTTTCTTGCGTTCTTCAGCCAACATCTCGCGCAACAACTGAGATTCTGGACCACTCGATGACATCGCTTCGAGCTGAATTTTGACTTGTTGAAGATGAGCCTCTACTGCTGCCTGCATAGTTTCAGACTTGGAGATCTCTTTCTCTGAGGCAACCCTTTCCTCCTCAAGCTTTGTCGTGAGCGTAGTTTTGATATCACAAATAGTTGCTTGCAAGTATTCTTTGGCCTGCTCGTCGCTCTCAAGCATGGAAGTTTTCATGAGATCGAGCTTCTTAGACCATTCTTGAGAGATCTGGTGCAGAGTTTCCTCCAGGTCCCCGATCTTTGATTCACGGTCTTGAAGCTGTTTGGCTAAATTGTTGTCAATATGAGTCTGGAACCCTTCTTGCCAAACCGAATGGCCAGTAGCAAGTCGGGCTAAGCTTTTATTTGTTTCGTCGCAGGTCTTCTGGGTGGCAAGGGTTTTGGCAGAAATATCGCCTAGATGCTCAACAAGAGCCTGGTGTGTTTTCTTATGCCACTGCTGGCCTTTTGATTGAGTCTCCTGTTGATCAGCAATGTTGTTATGCAGCTTCTCAAAGTGATCCTGGATGATATCCTGAAGAGACCCGGCTGACTGTTTTGCATCAATTTGGGACGAGATTATCTTCTGTATCTCAGACATCAAACTGGAAGCTTGATTAGAGCGCGAGGAAAGCGAAGCGAGAGATAAGAATCACATACCGGGAGATAATGCTCGTTTCTAACTTATCCGCCATCGTCTTGACTTCTTCATTCGTCATTAGGCCATCACTGCGCGACTCCAAATGGTCGTTCATCAGCTCGAGTCTACCCATTAGTTAGCAAGATTCTTTCGGCAGACATGTTGACTTACTTCTCCAAAAGGGTGTTTGTTAGCCTTTCCTGTTTCTCACTCCACTCATTGTTCTTCTCGTTACTTTCTCTTAGTGAGGACATATCAGAACGAAACGTTTTCACCTCATCCAGTAAGTTTGTTTCCGTTTTCAGACGGTTCTGGAGTTCAATGGCTGCTTCCCTTTCTCGATTTATTTCCTTCTCCTGATTTTTAAGCCTCAGTTGTAGCTCGGAAATTGTGTGGGTTTCTAAGCAATACAGTCAGTCTATGGTTGTGATACAACATAATCGGTGATCTTACGCTTCTGCGCTTCTTGCTCAGACTCAGATCGATATTTTTCAATGCAATATTTGAGTTCTTCGCGCTTCCTGTGACTGTCCTTCAATGCTAGCTCAACTGCTTTGGCCTCTTTCTCGCGCCTGTCCCTCTCCTTTTGCAGCTCATCGTTCGCTTCTTTGTGAAGATTGCGAACCCTTGAAAAGAGATCCTGCTGTTCTTTAATAGCTTCATTAAGCTTTGCTCGGTGTTTGCGATACTTTTCATGAGTGGCTGCCTCGTGATCTCGAGATTTGATTAAGTCGGAGCGAAGAGACTCAATCTCACCCTGTAATCTTTGAGTTTCCTTTTCCGCGAGTGATCCTTCTTCTTGCAACTTGTCAAGGCGACTCTTCGAATCCCCAATCGCAGAATCCTTTTCTGATATGAGTTGCACAGACTCTTCTAAAGCCTTCTGAGTGTGCTGCAACTTATCCTCAAGAATTGTAATCTCCTGAAGGGCCTCCTGACGCTCAGCTTCAGCGATCTGTATGCACTCATTCCAGTATTCAGCCACGTTCTGCATTGCAATTTTCTTTCGGTCAGGCTCAAATATTGGTGGAGGATAGACTCTCTGTTTAGCTGAGCGTTTTCTTGAGATATTGCTGCTCCTGGAAGCTGGGCGGTCATTGGTTCTTTCGGACACTCTGTGGTATTTAGATGCCGATGGGGGCTGAGTCGGCCAGTGACCACGGGATACACGATTTCGGGGCTTTGTAGTGGTCATGGGAGTCCGGGGAACAGGTGCCTCCAGGTCACCACAAACACTGGAAGAGGGCGCTTGATGTGAGACTCGGTCAACACGGGTAATATATGGAAGGGGAAGTTTTAGATCTTCAAGTTGGCGTCCTAGACTTGAGCCTTAGCGTGAATGACCATTGAGCTTCGCGTTTCGTAACTTACCATGGCCTTTGATGTGAGGTAGAGAAATTTTCGCCTGTTTCCCTAGCAGTTGAGAAACTTGAGCTTTGGTAGCCCCTTTACTGAAGCGAGAAGCATCCAAGATAGATCCAGTTTCTGTTGGAGGTGGTGCGTTTATATCAGAAGCCTCTGATATGATTTCATGAGAGAGCCCGGAGCTATCGATACAGATGACTGACGCTTCACCAGGGCTTTCTCGTGTAGAAGGTTTCTCCAGTGGAATTATGGTGTGACTCGAAGAATTATCCGACCGACCACTGAGGTTTTCTTCATTATGATGCGAAGAAATCTCGGAGAGAACTTTGCTCCCTGTTAGACCAAGCTCAGGGAGATCTAAAGGTGCCGCACGTATATGAATATGGACAGGGGCGTGTAGTGGACTGGGTGGAGAGTGTTTAGCAGGAATGTTTGTCGGCATAGGGAAGAATTGGGAAGTATCGGTTGCTTGAGACTGCTCAGGTTTAGGTCTCCGCGAGAACTGCCCAGGACGGGGAGGTTTCTTTTCGGCAAAGCAGAAGCCTTCGGCCATTGTTGATGTCGAAACCTCCTCTCTTGGTATCGAGAATCTCCTGAGATGAAGCTGATTCGAAAAAGTATTAGGCGCGGCCTGGGAATCTGGGATGACCGATCCGAGGCTATTGAAATCTCTTCCATCGTCAACAGGTCCAAAAGAGATCTGGCTGCTGCTTCTACTGAATGATGCTCTGGGTCTCGGGTCTGGTGAGGCGGTCATCTGCTCCTGAGTAGCTGGTAGGCCAGCCAAACCTCACGATTTACAAAGAAAGAAGCTCCGTGTTACGTTGAGATGTAGAAGGGTATCTTCGGCTTTGGGCGTAGGGGTGATGTGAATAAGTTGAAAATGACAACGTGAGTTGGCAGAAAAGAGAAAAAGTCCCCAAACCTTAGGCTGGCTTGAACCCTCCTTCTTCTCTCAGCCGTCCTTTCATGTTGGAAGGTGTTTATGATGCGGCTTCCAGTTGGAGTTCCCGCCATATGCTTTTAGGGAAGCTGCACCTGCCTGGAACGAATAGGTACAGTGATTCATTGCCCATTCTGCCCCTTGGTGCCTGCCGCGGGCAGACTTTGAGCGGAATCAGGTAAGGTACCTAGGTATATCTCGAAAAGCTTGGAGCAGGAGGAACATTACCTTAGGAAGGATAACATAAGGAGGTTACTACCTTAGTACTAAGGCAGTAGTGAAGGGAGTTCCTCGCGTTTTCTACCTAAGGTACCTAAACTGTTAAGGTACGGGCGGCGTTCCTTCTTCTGGCCTCTGAGGTGTAGGAATTCAACCAAGGTACCGTACGAATTATCCGGATGATTTTCACCTTATACTTCTGAGGGGTGAAGGAATACGTAAACTGATTAGAAAGTAGTACCTATAATCACACTGTTTTCACTCGTGGCCTGACCCCGTCCTTCCAGGTAGTGTAAATAACCTCCTTAATTGTATTAGTCAAGCTTATTATCTGGCTTCATTTATTTGAGAATACTCGAGAGAGAAATAGTGGCGTGTTTCTTCTTAACTTCTATCAGCTTGCACCTCGACTAAGCTACCTACAAGTTGCATTGGGAGATGTTCTAGGCAAATTGTGAATGTGACTAGATGCCGTGGTGCTTTACGCTGACTGAAAGAAGTCAGACTTATATACGATCTTCGGCTATTATACAAGCATTCAACATACACGGAGTCGAAAGAAGGGAACCGTAAAGGAGGCCTCGTTTTTGTATCACCTAGCATGGTTGCATCAGCCTGAGCAGGGCCATGAATCTATTTCAACTACTAAACCTGGCGCTTATACCAGGTAAACCAGATCTAAGATGATGCAACATTGCATCGCCAAGTTTTTCGCTTAGAAGCAAAATCTAGAACGGCGGTTACCTGGAGTTCAGTGTCTTCTCTTTCTGCCAAGATCAATCTCAAACGCTGTCAAAACCACGACAACGGCTGCAGGTCAACTTACACGATAAGCATATAAAGAACCAACAACGACCCCTGGCGCTTCGGTTCAGAAAGGGACGCCAACAATGCATGGGCCACCGCTAGTTGATCATTGTCAACCGCCGTTATCACCGGCCCAACATCACAGAGTGAAACGAATATCCAACACCCACATGCATTACGACTTAATCCCCCAAACTAAGGTTTTGCAGAACCAATCCGGCGGCTCATCACTGTGAAAAATATGAAAATTCCGTTGCGCACAATAACGGCCCTGCATTAATCACCCTTTGGCGCGTGACGAAGTACAGGCATCGAGGTTGATAAAGTCCGGATCTGAAGTCTTATTGGCTGGACCCCTGTTTGAGGCTTCGCCGCTCAGCGCTTCGAGCTGGATTGTCACCAATCACAGATGCGCGTGTTACTATATCGCGGTTCCTGCTGCTGTGCTTGAGTCTCGGCCCCGTGATGAAAATTCAATGATGATTCGTCTTGAATACTCGGGACTTGAGAGCCAAGTAGGTATCAAGGATGCCAGGGTCTGAGTACTACGCTTGTGGAGGATGAGGAACCAAAGGTTTGGGGATGTATATACAAGTGGCTGCCCTCGCCAAAGAGGCGGTATTCTTGAAAATTTCCTAGCCCTTCTATCTTAATTACATGGTACTCTTCCTTTTTCATATATCCCAGGTTCTGTGAACCTTCTTGTGCAGCTTCTCGAGCGGCCCATATCCTTACACCAGCTTACACAAACTCAAAGACAATGTCTTCAACAAGTAACCCTTTTCCTCTTGCGTCGGAGGGCTATGATGATAGTGCTCCAAGTGCCGACTCTGGCACTGAGGCGGGTGCTGCTGGTGACAGCTCAGGCAACTCCGTTTCTATCTCTCAAGGCGGCATGATTGCTATCATCGTTGTCGTTGTTGTCGTCAGTTTGATCGGCAGTATGCATCTCTCTCCTTATAATAGTTTGCATGCACTGACTGACTTTCTTATAGTCTCCACAGCCGCTCTCTTTTTCATAGCAAAGAGGCGCGAATGGACAATGCGAGAGACAATCAGGAAGTCCGCCCGCAAAGTTGTTACAGCTCTCACACCGCGGAGAACAGAGTTCCCTTCATCAGTTAAAGACGGACCTGTTCCATCTCATCGTAATCGTACAAGGATTGCTGATGATGATGTCCCTCCGACACCGAGAATTCGACCTGAGGATCTTGAAAAGGGTCTAGCTCAAGCCAAGGCAAAGCGTAAGGAGAAGAAGTGGTTGAAGAAGTGAAAAAGAAGCAGCAGAGGGAGATCCTCACTGTGGTGTGCAGCTGGCAGTCACGGTGGCAGGAGTGGTCATGGAAGTTGTCAGCCACGTATTTGATGGTTGTGGTCTCAAATTGGTGTTTCCAACGGACAGGATCCGGGTATCATCCATGTATAAATAGTAACCTTCCACGCATGGGCTGTCTCATCTTTACTCCACGAACTGAGCATTAACGCCTTTGCTATTTTGATAATGAAATCCAAGCGCCTGTTTTGTCTTTCTCGTTTCTTAGATCCGTCTAAACGTGTTGCCACTGGCGCTGCGTCGAGCAGCTCCCGTTCGCTTGTCCCGGGGTTCAGCAGGCAGCTCCTCCTCTCTCTTCTTTTGCTTTCTCCTTGACTCTGGAATGAAGGACACTTGACGCTCGCCAACAACTTCTCCTCTGGCCTGGTGAGTGCGCCCCGACTTTTGCTGTCTCGAGCCAAGCGCTGTGTCCTTGACAGCCCGTCCCTGGTTGCTGGTTGACGACACACGCATGATAACGTCTTCGTCCTTGGTCTTTCGCCTTGGTGCTGGGACTGTCTTCTCCATATCTTCATCGCTGGACGTATCATCGTCCGAGTCCTTGCCCTGATAACGGGCCGGAGCCTTCGAATCAACCTGCTGTCCCACCGCAGTGCTTGGGTTGAGAGCACGGAACTCTCCAGTGGTCTCATCCACCTGGAAGGCTTCATCCTCAAACATCTTGCTGAAACGGGAATCACCAAGAACACCAACATTGGTGTCAACCTCAGCTCTGTTCTCCTGCTTCTTGAGAATCTTGTCCACCATCTTCTGGTTGACCTTGACCTTCTTAGTACCCCTGATTCTGCTTGCGCGTTCCTTCTCGACCTTATCCTTGATACGCTTGGTCCTCTCCTCTTCCCAGACGTATGGGTTGGCAATCAGTCTAGCCTGCTCGTACAGCTTGGAGGCCACAAAGTATCCGTGCATGTAAGGTCGAAGTAGGTTTGTCTTTCCAACCAGGTGGGACAAGCTCAGCTGCTTCAGTTCGGGTAGTGTCAAGAACTTGTAGTTGTCGTATGTTTCGGTGTGCACCTCTTCCGCCATTTCTTCGACCATGTTGTCCAAGAATGAGCACCATTTAGGAGCGGGACCTAGTTGGGGAACGAAGAACGCATGCTGCTGCTTGCCTTCGTTGGCTGTCATGATCATACCAGTGTTCTTGCACCATGCAACGTCGTTGATGTCCACGATAGGCTCCACGGACGTCCAAGGATCTCCCGTCTCTTCATCCCACAGCTTGATGATGCGCTTATCCGCTGACAGGATCTTCTTTTCTTGTGATGCCGTCGTCATATGAATGAGCTTATGCACAGGGAAACCGTATCCTTGATCCTTCTTCATGAGGGGCACGGGTCGTCGCAGATCGAAAATCTGCATCATGCCACTGGAAGCACCCGTAACAATAGAAAGGCCTGAAGGGCTGAAGTCTAATGCTGTAACCTCACCTTCGTGGCCTCCTAGCAAGGCGACCCTGGACTTGGATCGGGGATCCCAAAACTCAACTGTTCCTATTGAAGTTCCAAAAGCGAGCAGGTTGTGGGTATTCTCAGCGATAGCAGCCGTGTTGACGCTGCCAACCCCAATACCTCCTTGTAAACCGCCCCCAGTAAGTTCATCGTCGTCACCGACATCGACCTGATATGACTTCATGAAGCGTCCCAGCTCAAGGTTGAGGCGGAACACCTCGCCCTTACCATCGCCATCCAAGCCCACGGATGGCACAAGAGCCTCGGTAGATTGCCGGTCGTAGACAAGAGCTCGACCATATCTGGGAAGACGGACTTCATAATGGCAACCCATGGGAGTGTGGAATTCGAGGCGGCGATCGGTCTGAAGGTGAAGGGATTTGGAGTAATCGGTTGACAGGAGCTCGAATGAGTGGTTGAGGGAGTTGGTATGACGAGCGAAAGACAGCGACAACTGAGGTAGGTTATGAACATGAATCTGCGGCTTGTATGTGCCTGTACTCATGATCCAGTCACCATCCTCACTGACACGGATACAGTTACTGGCCTCTTCGAACTCGAAATCTTGTAGAAGCTCGACACGATTCTGGTATTCGGCATCGTCCTTCAAACTTCGCTTTCTGCGTCGGGCAAGCCAGTCGGGCAGAGGTCGGGCACTAGATGCGCCCGAAATTGTGTATACGGGAACAGTTCCCGGATTCGAAAGCTTCATGATGGCGGTGTTACAGTAAAACCGCACTAACGAAACTTGGTTGTCGTGCTGAGAGGAATAATGTAAGTTTTGCGATTCACCCGCTGATGCGCCTTGGACTTGGAAAAAAATCAAGGTGAAGAAAAACGAAGCCCCACCACTTTCGGTGTGCTCGGTGACTCTCGGTAAGGGACCCCGGTGGATATCTCAAGCAGAGGGAAAATGGAATATATGTATGTACTCTGACTGTTTATTTGAGAATGTTATATACACAACGATTTAGTTATTTGGTACCAAAGAGAAAGATAGATGATATAACTTGATAGTCTATGATTTTACTTGCACCAAGTTGTACATAAACGTCAAATTCCAAGGACCAACTCTCTATATGGACTACCTATGGTTGATCTTCTCTTCCCCCCCCTAGCCTAGCCTAATTCGCTCCTATTCAGTCCCTTGAAATTGTTGCCCGTTCCTTTACTCCCCTGTTAAACCCGGCCAACAAACCACTTGATTGACCCCGATTAAAAGTACTCCCCATCCCAGCTGAGGCCCTTGCTCTTCCGCCTCCACTGAATTCCCACCTCCGCCAACGCCTAGTTTGTCGCGACAGACATCATCAAATATCCAACTGGCCCAGACCATCACCACATCGTTTCCTTATGTCCAAAGAACACAACATAACGCCAATAACTTAGCTGTTACTTCTTTCAGCAATATTTCGAAGAATCAACTCATCATCCGAGCCATTTTAGCTCTCCGTGGCACCATCACCGAGCTACGAGTCTGCGACTCAGCACAAGTGTCTGGCCCGTTGAGATGGAGTCTGGGGAGTCGACTGCCCCTACCAGCACCATCCAGACAGCCATATCTCGACAACTTCTATTATTCTAAGGCTCGACTACAAAAAAGAAACGGCGCAGAGTGTCGAGCCCTTCTAGGCTTGGGCCTCGCCGTCGTTCCTAAGGCCGCATTTACGGTTGCGACTTCGGACCGGCGAGGAAGTTGTCGCAATGGAGACCAGTGATTATGAGACAAATACCTTGTCGATAGTATGTTTGAGTTACCCTTATACCTCCAACGTCCCTCCAGAAGCATTTCTTTATCTAATTTTGGCTTTTCAGAACAACATCGCGTCGGTAGCCTTTCGCATCTACGAGCCTCCTCCTGACCAATCGCATGCCTTCCAATCATCCGCTCTCGAGATTCAAAGTTCCCTTCGCGATCAAGGAAAGCTTGTTTCATACGATGCCGACCGAGTGGGAATATGGATCTTCCAAATCGTCAGCAAAGATGGGACGAGCAATCTCGTCAATTCTGCCCCAGGATCTAGCCTAGAAGCTTCAGGCTACACATTAGGGATGGTCGAGGAGGGTACCCTTGAACCAGTAGCTTTACAGAAGAGCCGCATCCCGGGAAACACCACACAGAATGCCCCGAATAACGCAGCGTCAACCTCATCTCCGGCCGAGTCAAATAGCCGTAACCCTTTGATTTCACCAACTCAGGTCGCTGGAGGGGCTTTGCCAGACGGAGGGTCTCAATCTTCAGCTCAGGCTACCGACATGAAGACGCCGCGGATAGTGCCAAAGATTATCTACGAACAGTTCATAGTCGCAGTCATTTCCTCGATAGCGTTTGCTTTCTGTAGTCGGTCTATGACCATACCACTGAACTACAGGACAATGTTGATTCCACCTTTGCAAGCCGATGCGAATGAACGGGAAAGGGGCTCATTGCAAGCTGATCCCGTCGTTGGCACATTCAAGACATATCTCACTACCACGGGCTCTCTTGTTGTCAGTCTCACGTTCTCTTACTGCAAGAACCTGGCGACAGTGGAAGATGTTCTCACAGGTGACTCCTCGTCCCCAAGTAGCTCAGTGCTTGCTGCCCCTTATGGAGTTTTTGCAACAAAACAGAACTTTGCCAACGGGGACGGGTCGGATCGAAGTCTAGCACAGACACCTAATACGCAAGCTTTGAGTGTGAGAAGTATTCCAGATACAAATGATTCGCAATGGAAGCACTCATGCCTCAAAGCACTCGAATACTGTGGGCTCAACCCATCTCAATTCAAGTCGAGCCCCTGGGTCAACCTTCTCATTTCCAAGCCAGCTTCGCAAGATGCGGAAGGGGAATCCAAGCGATCACGGGCAACAGTTCCCTGGCCAGGATCACTCTGCTTTCGAAAGAAGCCACTGGAAATGTCGACAACTCATCGTGTTGGCGACACAATGCTCAGTGGCCACGAGGAATGCCACGATCCCTTGGGAGATGCTCGTGGATGGTTCGCCGGTGCGTCTGAAAGGGAAGAGAGAATCTCCAAACGCAGAGCTGAGCGAATGTATGCTGTCCCTAAAGAAGTTAATGGTGCGAACCCCCTAGCTCAAAATCTCAATGGGCAGTCTCCTTTGACCATGAGGCGACCTAGCACCGCTGCCGCTGGTGTCATGTATCCAACACCCCCCGACGCAATTCAACAGCACATCGGCATTACCCCTTCCTTGGATGGAGCGATCTCGAGTCCTAACAACCCGCCCCCAACCCTTGCAGTTGTTGATGCTGATATCACGATGCCAACAGCGACACCGATGCCTGATGCTGAGAATGACACCTGGGGAGGCCATCACGAACAGAAGAGAGAACGAAGCGACAGCAACGCTATGGGCGATTCTGACGATGTAATGAACGACTTGGGCGAGGATGTGTTCGGGGACCACGATGTAACAGAGGATGACTTTAATTTCTTTGATGGCCCTGACAGTAACGACCTGGACATGGACATGCCAGATCTGCAA